ATATTAATGAGATTCCATGAACTTTCTAGGCATCCCAAAAATAGAAAATCAAATATCTTCAAAGCTGAAATTTCTCTAATTTTACTCCCCATACCCATGTGTGTCATCATGGTGGAGATAATCTACTCCAGGTATCAAGAGCAGCCTCTGGAGAAGGCTCACTGATGTCACCACTCCACCAACTGTTAGTTTAGCAGCCTTGAATGATCGACTGAGTGCTTCTGCCTCTGTTCTTTAGCTGTAAAATGGGGGAAATATTTGAGTTACTATGCATGTAAGTAAGATGACACATGTAAAATACTTACAAAAGCTTATTACTATCACTAATCCTGCCTTTATTCTCCCTTATCACATTGTTTTCTGCTTGTCTTATTTCCATACATTGTAGCAACTAGCTGTTCACACAGCATAAATTACTACTAATGCCCAATCCTGGTAATGGAAGCCTTCTGGGCTGCATTTTATAGATGATGACATAGAAATTCAAAGCAATTAAATATATTACCCACAGTGACACCACTAGTAAGTGACGAAGCCAGGAAACAAAGCCAAAGCTGGCCAGCTCCAGGTCCAGTACTTTTTTTTGCAGTGCTCAGCTGCTTTCTTTGCTCTCTAGAAAAAATGGAATTGTACAGGTGTTATAAAGTCCACAGTCCCTTAGAACATGGCTGTATGATTTCAAGCAAACTAGATAATTCTCCTACACATCTCTAGCCCTCTCATTCCCTGAAGCCTCAAAATCCTTAAAGAGACAATAATACACTTTAGTTCCACAATGTGGAATGAAAAAGGAATGGCTATTCCTGAGAAGTAACACATTAATACTCACAATGAAGTATTAATGGTGGGGTCAGGGATTTAGCTCAGTGGTTCCACCACCCGCATTGCAAGTGCAAGGACCCAAGTTCAATCCCCGGTACAAAAAAAAAAAAGTATTAATGGTGAACTTCAAGTCCTTTCTTCACCTCAGTCTAAGTAGAAAGCATAGAAGGAAAGAGAGAAGTATACAAAGTTACCCTATAGCTGAAGACAGAGAAGTGAAAGGTATTTTTTAAATACCAAGTGATTGTTTTTACACTTCTTTTTAAATTATTCCTGATAATTTACTGAAATCTGTGAGAAGTTTGACAAAGTATGCTCAGCCGCACACACAGTCATTCACAATTCATGAAGATCAGAGATAAATTTTAGCCCGAGTCCCTGGATCAGAACTAGTGAGGCCATCACAGATATCTTGCAGCAGATATCAGCATGGGGAAAGGAAGGATTAAAAATACGGAAACTTACCCATGTTAATTGATAGCTCATGGTTTTCTCACCATGGTTACAGGCTCTTTTCTCCCAGTATACACATGGCCCACAGGTTTAGAACTAATGACCTGAAACAAATAATATCTACCTCCCATAACGCTTAGTGCTCATTTCATTATGCTCCAAAGCACAGGATAAAATTTGCTTTAAACAAGGCTTACTTGACCATATATAACATTCTGATTAGTCTGAAGAAAAGCAGTATAGTGTTGAACTCTGGGGGTTGTATGATTATTAATTGCCTCTTAAGAAGCCCCAGGCTTTCCCTGTTAATGTAGCAGAGTCCATTTACTCTCACCACGGTCCCTTCTTCCCTTTCTCTCCTACCTCAGTCCACAACTCAGTCTGTACCTGCTCCGTGAGTGCTGCCAGCCAAAGGCCCAGGAAATGTACTCATTTGCATTTGTATTCTATGAATTCTAAGGAAGATCTCCATTCATCCAGTCATTTCATTGGACAAACCGAGCTCAAATCCCATCAAGAGTTAAGGCTAACTTCTACGGGATCTTCCTTAGAGACATCAAAGCTGACAGATTAAGAGAAAAACTTTTTGTCATTTTAAAGTCAAGGTTATGGTACTTGCCTGGTGAACACCAGTGAGGACTACAGCAAAGCCCTGATTTCAAATACAAGACATTACTTTTCATACAGCTTTGATATTTACCCTTAACTTATCTACCAAAAACTGTGACAAGTTGTCTAACTATGGCACCCAAATGGCATTTTGAGAAAAAGAATGTTAACCATGCAGTAGTTGTGGTTTTACCACAATTTTGTAATCTGGAGATTATAATAGAGTCACTTTTGGCAAGCACAAGGCTGTGAGTTCAATTCCTGCCAGGGATTTAGCTCAGTGGTTTCACTGCCTGCTGTGCAAGTGCAAGGACCCGAGTTCAATCCCCAGTACCAAAAAAAAAAAAAAGAAACAATTCCTGGTACTGAAAAGATATAATAGGGTCGCTCCATTTTTATTAATCATTTTCAACTTTGCTCTGAATGAAAAGACAGATGCCAGGAATGTCAGAAACAATGCAGCCATTTAGTGAGTGAAATGGCATAAAAGGATGTGGTATAATTTTGCATTTTGCTTGTGAAAAACATGTAGATGAAGCACTTACAATGTCACAAAAATAATGCCCCCAATTTTTTAAAAAGTGCAGTTCAAGAGCTAAAGCAGCCTGTCGATGAAAGAAGTATCAAGCAGATGTTTGCCTTATTTCCAGATATATTAGAATTCTGAGGGAAAATCACAAAGAGCATTTCTATTATGCACCTGTCATGGTCAACATCTGGCACTAACCCTCACCAATCCATCAATCTCATGATGTGGTACCTTCTTCCAGCTCACAGAGAAACTGTAAATAAGCCCACAGTGCAGAGCATTGTTTTTCTTTTTTCTTTTGTTTATGGCAAGAAGGAAGCAGCACACATACACACATTCACACATAAAACAGAAAGGGTGAATCTCTGCCATTTGTTAATGACGTGGTAAAAGTAGTTTCTAAAGAAGAAACACAAATGCAATTAGCGTCAGAACAATGAAAGAATTTGGATAACTTTTAAAGGGAAATAAGTTGTCTAGGATCTGCCAATCATCCAGCCATTCATTCATTCATTCATTCAGTAGTGGGTTTTAGCTACTGGATATACACAGTTGGGGGTGAACTGCTACCCAGAAAAAAATACACACAATCTTTGCTCTCATGCACTCAAAGAACTGTTATAAAAGTCTGTGAATGAGAGGTCAAGACCTGATGATGATCTTATTTATGAGACATTCATTTGTGTAAACTGGGAGAAATATTTTCAGGCCCCAGTACAGGAAATAAGTGAAAACTTTTGACCAATTATTCCACAGAAAAAGAGAAAGAGATCAAGTTCCACTACAAAGGACATACTTACTGTCCAAGTTATTTGGGGAAACTGGATAAGTAGGACATTGACTAAAGGTCAAAAGCTTCTATTATGAGAGAGAAATGTATTTTGTTATCAATTAATATACTGGAATTCTTACTACAGAAGTTTTGGGGTTTTTTGGGGTTTTTTTGGTACCGGGGATCGATCTCTGGTCCTTGCGCTTGCGCAACAGGTGGCGAAACCACTGAGCTAAATCCCCCGCCCCTACAGAAGATTTTTAATGCCACTTATTCTTGGTTGTCTAAAACCTTGTTGGAAATTTCAAGTAAGTAAAGAGACAGGGATTGCTTAATCAGTTAGGCTTCCATTTAGGGGAACTTACTTGCAACACACACATACAATTTCTAAACAGAAGTTCAGTACATATATTAGGACTCAATTTCAAGTGGAGACTCGGTTTTAAACTACCAAAAACAGAAATGCAGATATCTCTAATGTGTAACAAAATAAAGGAGAGAGATGACTGGAACCAGGAACTTGTACGTTAGTGGGACCCTTGCTCTTTTGTTCTTTTTTATTCTCTATGTTAATTATCACATAATTTCTCTGAAGGCTAATATGTATTTACATGCTGTATTATTGACAGCTAGCTCTAAGTTCAGATAGCCCAAATTCACTGTCAAAAAGAAAAAAAGTCTTTTCTACCATTCTCTATTCTTTCTCACCCAACCTTAGCCTGAAACCTCTTCCAAATAGACAATTCATCTCTGACTTATCAAAGAAGGAAGGTAGGGAGGAACTGTTACCTAAGAAGAAACGAAGTTCCAATCCAGACCCAGTGATGATAGCTGGGGTGGAACGAAGAAGTGTGGGAGGAGGACAGAGAAGTTCTTCAGAGGTAGGGAGGCCTGGGTCTCCAAAGAACAGGGTGCTGAATGGACAGGATAATAAATGGCTCACTTGTAGTTTAGATGTCTTAAAATGTTTCATGTGATTTCTGACTGTTTTTACCTGAGCTTTACCATTTCAGTGCACAGTATAACTTCATTTGTCATTAACAAAGATGTTCATATATATATATACATACACTTTTTTTTAACTTTGCTATTTTAGTACAAAGTGGATTATTTGAGATTGGAAATAGTGGAAACTTATCAGGGGTTTGATTCTTTGTATTTTATATCTTATTTATGCTTATTTTGACCTCAGTAATAGTGTTTAAATACATTTCAGATTCTTAGCTATTGTAGTGATAATAGTGTAGTCACTAAGAAATATGTGCTGATAATGCTAGTAATTAAAAACAACACATTAGAGATTTGGGCCATTTCTAGTATAGCTTATTTCTTTAAACATTTACAGTGAACCTAGATAAGAAAATGTGCTTCTAATAAATGTAGACAGACCATTTCTTATAATGCAATTTCCTTCAATATTGTCATAATCAAAATGACTTGCTTAAACTGTATTCACTACCATGATTTAGAGAGAAAAACCTACTTGTAGATAATTTTAGCTTCTTGAATGCCAATTTCCCTTCAAGTTCAAATTAGAATTGGCTCAAATGAGTGAAAATCAGTCCCATTATTTTTCTTTCTATAATGTCGTGCACTCCCATGATTTTTAATGCCATGAGCTATTAATTCTCTATTTTCTTCACTTTTATTCCAAGTGGACTCATGCATAATGTATAATTTCCATAATCTGCTATTTTTAATTTCTTAAGGTCTAGATTAGATTCCTAATTTTAAACCTTGTAACATAAAAACCCAGGAGGGGTCAGACAGCTAAATATAATGAAGACTGATTGGCTGATTCAACAATAAGAACAGCAAGCCAGATAAGGAATTCGTGGTTTTGCCAAGCAACTATAAAAGAATCAAATTACCTGGTAGGTAGAAAGAAATGTATAAATTTTGGAAGATTTAAGATTAGTGATATAATAAACTGACAAGCAGGGAGTTAGCATCTATTAAGTGTGCTCTCTTTGGGCCCAAAAAGATATAATGTAACCTGCTAGGGAGATGAACTATAAACAATGAATTGAAACCAACTACATACTGAGTAGGAATTGTAGGACATTCCACATAACTACAGAATCCCCAGATCTTGGAATTTACTATGAGTAAAGTGTAAGTCATTGTAGATGTTTATAAAGGATCACCCTTTCTGCTATAATCTACACACAGCAGATGATAGTACAGATGATAGGAGCATGTGACTAAGTCTGGAAACTCCATTCTAGCACTCAGCAGACTTATTCTTCTTGGCTGAGGACAGTTCTGTCAATCCCCTAGGAAAGGTAATGCCAGGATAAGCCTGATGGGTCTGTTCCGCACCCAAGAAATTATCACTTACTTTCTACAGCACTTGGCTACATTATAGGATTAGAAACCATATACCTGAACTCAGGAAACTTGGTTGGGGAGGTAAAACATGTATTTAAGTGAGAGATAATAAAGTCTTGAAGATTATGATCTTGCAATCCTGGTGGAGTTAATCTCCTCCTGGAGTTAGGGAAATGAAGGAAAGAAGATAGGATAGCAAGTCACTGCCAGGTGAGCCGCTTGAAAGCCATATTCCATTTCTCTTCTTCTTTCTGCATTTCTAAAAAAAAACCACCAAGAGAATGAGTTTAGGTGGAAACCCGAAAAGCCCCCCTGAGTGATTCTAATATTAACCCTTGGATCGAGAACCACCCACCATAGTATTCAACATATTAAATTACAGTTTATTGTTTTGAGACTTAACACTTCTTATTTTTGGATTTGAAAATCAGTATATAGTTAACACTTCACTATGAGATTCTAAATATAGGAAAACTAGGAGGATAATACACAAAGAAAATGAGTTGAGTTTTCAATTGTATAAGAAAATGTAACTAGATATACAGTATAAGGTGCAGTGGTCAGAATGCACCCTACCAACATGCACAAATATATGTGCTAAAAATATAACACCCAATGCAACAGTGCTGTGAAATGGAGTCCATTTGGAAGTATTTAGGGTTAATGCCATTTCTTAAAGGGCTTAGCAGGGTGGGTTCTCATTCTTCTGCTTTCTGCCCTGTAATGAAACAGAATTTGTCTCTCTTGCTCTTCCTCCTTCCACCACAAGAGTGTAACCCACACCAGATGCCAACACCTTGACCTTGGACTCCCTAACCTCCAGAACTGTGAGGAAGAAATTTCTGTTCTTTATAAATTACCTAGCTAATGGTACTCTGTTATAGCAGCACAAAAATGATTAAGACAATACATCAGGATAGATATTGATATAGAGATAAGAGTCTGCTGTGAATGCTACAAGATACCACAAACAGGTGGCTTAAATAATAGACATTTATTTTCACACAGCCTTGGAGACTAAAGTTTGAGGTCAAGATGCTGTTTGAGTTGGTTTCTGATGAAGGCTCTCTTCCTGACTTGCAGACGGCTGCCTTCTTGCTATGTCTTCACAAGGCCTCTTCTTTCTGCATGCATGGAGAGAAAGAGGACTCTCTAGTATCTTTATCGTTTCTTATAAAGATACCAGTCTTATTTGATTAGGACTCCAGCCTTATGTCTTTATTTAACCTTGATTACCTGCTTAAAAGCCCTATCCCCAACTCTAGTCTCACCACAGGTTAGGGCTTCAATATATGAATTTGAGGGAGACACAATTCACTCCATAACAGTATACATCTATATATCTACTCAAATAGATATATAGATATTTATCTACTGGCTACAGATACGCCAGGACATATATGAATGCTTCAAATCATTAAGTACAAGCTAATTGCTATACCTCTTCTGGGAGCCAACAGTCCCATCACTTTTGAAAAGGAATTGATTTCTTTCGACTGCATTTAATTAACACAGACCCAAAAGAAAGAAATCTTTTTTGTGTTTCTCTAAGAGCTAATTTTGGGGGAAGAGCTCTGACTCTGGATGTCTGCCAAGTTATTTATAGCCTGGGTGCGCCTCAGGAGGGAGATTTGGGCACAATACTCCTCTGTCTCAGAGCCCTTGCCAGTTCTGGGCAAGTGTGTGATACCTAGTCAATCTACCAGTTGTAATTCTTGATAAAAGTAAATGTCTCCACCTTTCTCCAGCAGAAGATGATAGTTTCAGTGATCTCTGTTCTATTCACAAACTATGCCTGATTACCATGCTGGATGCTTGCACAATCCAATACTTTTTTCCAAATGTGAGCCTTAGCTTCCAGATTAATTAGTTTACACTTTACTAGAATGAACTGAATTTCCCATCTTTAAACTCTTACTTTAAATCTATGTGATAACTTTTGCATTGTACATGCTATGCCTCTTTCTTCTTCCGAACTGAAATGGATTATCATCTATGTACCCAGAGGAAAAATTTCAGTGTCTGTGTTACTCTTCTCTCTGTGGATAACAATGATTCTAAAATGTGTTCTTGATAAAACTTTCTCTGAATGGGATTTGAAGAATTTTCCAGTTGAAAGGTGCATTAATTTTCAGGTTTAAACTTTATTTTACATTTGAGGAAATTGTGGTCGATAGAGATTTCATGATCTGTTACAAATTCCCCAGTTAATTAATGTCAGAGTAAACCTGGAACTTGGGTAACTTAATTTCAAGTCATACTAAGAATAGGATTACACTGAAATGTTTTAAGAGATAATTATTAATGTACTGCATTAGAATTCTAAAGCTTATCTTCCATTTCCAATAATAGATTAATGCTGAGAAACCTTACATCTTTATAAACCTTCCAGTCTTGCAAAATGAAAAACATAGTCTTCTTAAGCACTTTAAAATATATATATATATATTCACAATATTGTGGACTAGTAACAGTCACAGAATACCATTTTTTATACATCTCCCTGGAGCAGATTCAATAAGCACAATCTACATTAGATATTTTTTCAGTGAAATACACCATCAAGCACAGAGAAGATCATCCAGGTAAACAGCAACGTAGGATATGTATAGAGGTGATATGTTGACCAAAACGTCAATTCACAAGTAAATATTTATAGAACTTGAAGTTTCACTGGATATTCTCAAATTTTGTGATCTGATCACTGTAAAGAGTAATGTAAAAATAATGATGATAACAATAGAGGTGAAAACCGCTATCGATAACATGGTACAATATGTCAGGTGCTATTTCTAACATGATACATTAGCTTGACTCTCAGGAAAAGCCATATGATACCACTACCATTGTGTTTCTTTTTAACTTTTTTCTATGAGAGCCTTGGGTTTGGTGGAAGGGGAGTGGAATTTAATAAGATCAATGAAAATGAGAACGACTAAGAGGACTAGCCTTAAAGAGTAAGTCTATTTTTCAGGTATATAAGAGTAGGAACTCTTTTGGCTACATGAGAAGAAAACCCAGGTCAAAATGGCTTAATCAAAGTGGAAGTCTGTTGGCTTTTATAAACCAAAACCTGGATCCAGGGCTTCACATGATGTTCTCCACATGTAGAGACTGCTTTCCTCTGCTGGCTTCATTCAGATCAGCTCTTCCTGGAGAGCTAAAAAGAGTCAGTCAGACATTCGGGCTTAAATTTCAACACTTTAACAATCCCACTAATGAGAGAATTTTACCATTTCAATCATCAGAATATTACCATGATTGTTGGAGTTTTATTGGACCAAATTGGGTTTCTCACCAATTGCTATAGCAATGGAGCTAGAATATAATTCAACAGCTCTGAGTCTCACGCCTGTGCAGGATGTTACTCACCATCCAAAGAAAACTCAGCATTCTTACCAATGAAATGAGAATGAGGGCTGGGGATTTAGCTCAGGGGTTTCACCGCCTGCTGCACAAGTGCAAGGACCCGAGTTCAATCCCCGGTACCAAAAAAAGAAAAAGAATTTATTGGGCGGGGATTTAGCTCAGTGGTTCCGCCGCCTGCCTCGAAAGCTCAAGGTCCCAAGTTTGATCCCCGATACCAAAGAACAAAACAAAACAAAACAACAAAAAACCCCACAATATTTCTAGAAAACATGAATCAATACAGATTTTAAAAAAAAATAAGAAATGAGAATGACACTGGAAAGAAAAAGCCAAAATTGTCCCTCATGGTCTACAAATAGGTGCATAATTAAGTAGAGCAAGATAGAAATTGCAAAATATGAGCAAACAGAGCTCAGATAAGAAAATTGGTTTAGGAAGTACACAAGGCACATAAGAGAAAAAAGGGGAAATTTGAGTATTGTATAAAGGCAAACTACTTCTGACAGACTGTGTGAGGCCAGTACTGATTAATGAAAATGACAGATTTATGGCCAACCATAAGATAAGAAAAAAAAAATCAAATAATGAAACAGTTCTCTAGGAGGTAAATTCAGAGAAGTTATTGAAGAGAGACTGAGGCTGACAGAGGAAGACTTCATGAAAAAATGGCATCTGAAATATCTTTGAAACATGAGGAGCATTTTGACAGGAAAACTCATGGGAACAATGTTTATGGTAAGAAAACAAAGACAAAGGGTAAAGTGGTGAGTAATAGCTAGACAGTAGGATGCTTGTAGACATTATAAAAGTTATAAATGTATTTGGTGAATAGAATACCACTGATACAGTGTTGGTTTAACACTCTTCAGATGAAGAGGGACTGTCTTAGTTACTTTTCTCATTGCTGAGACAAAATATTTGGCATCCAGTTAAGGAAAGGTTTATTTCAGTTCACAATTTGTAGACATTTCAGTCCATAGTCAGCTGGCTCCAAGTCAGGGTGTCATGGCAGATTAGCCTCACAGAGGAGAAAAAGTCCATGCCAAGAAGGCAGGAGACAGCAAAGCAGCAGCAGCAGCAGCAGGACAAGAAGCCTGCCTTCTTTCTGTCCCTTTATATTTGATCCAGGCTACAAGCCTACTGATCGCTGCCACCCATACGCAGGTTAAAGCTTCTATTACCCACATTCACACACCCTAATCCAACTATCTCCAAAAAGCCCCGTCTATGAGTGCATTAGGCTTTGTGGGGACATCTAGATACAAGCTGTAATAGAGATCTTTGAAGAAAACCTTCAAGCACCTGCAAGAGTCTTGATCAGAGCTGTCTATGGGAAGAACATGGTATTCAGTGGGAAACACAGATTAAAGGAAACTAGCTAGAAGCAAGGAATCCCACTGGGAGTTCTTTTCAAAAGTTGTAGTGTACAGTAGTGGCAATGGGAGAAATAATAAAGTAAAGAAATGAGAAACTGGGTGCAAGAAACACTGGAGATAGAATCCATCAGACTTGTCAATAAGTGATTGTGAGAACAGAGAAACAAAGAGATAACAGCATTCTCAGTATGCATACCCAGGGTATGGTGATACTGTTAATCAACATGGATATCTCAGAATGGATATCAGGCTTGTGTGTGTGTGTCTGCATTGTGAGTGTTAGCGGAAGGGGAGACAGACACTAAAGGAACCAAAGAAGGAAACACAAAATGGAAGCTCCTGCATGAGACAGTTGAAAAAGATACCTTTCTGTAAGGAATAAATGTTAGGATACAATTTACACCGTACTTGCACTTTTAAAATATTATTTATGTTTTCTAGTTTCTAACTCTTGACTCAATAAAAATGAACCAACCAAATTTTAAAAACCAACCAAATTTGTCTTTATTTCCCTGACTCTATCTTCCTAATAACCTTGGACCCTTGCCCTTTAGACCTGCTTCTTTTTAATATTAGTAAGCCTAAGCTTTTAAGGAGAGAGTCTATAATCCCTACAAAGTTGAGTTCATTTTCTGTCATTTCTAAAAAAGCAATTCTTGCTTTGTGCAATCTCCCTTTTCTTTTCTCTAATGACACTGGAGAAGTAAATATTTAGTGAATATGCCCTTCTCTGACATAGGCTCTCCAATGTAGTTTTA